TAAGGATGTAAAGAAACATCTGCACTGCATTAAAGCTTGTCAAAATAGGCAGTTGTAAAAAAAAAATAAAAAAATAAAACGACAAAGCAACACAAAGCGGTTGAAATACGCAGGGCCGAAACAAGGTGAATGGAAAAAAAATATTTCAGTGAAAAACGATTCCCCGCACTTCATTTTCTCGCATCGAAGTGGACCGGGGCTGCAAGCTGAAGGTGAAAAATTTTCAAAGAATGCTCTCGAAAAGTGCTTCTGAAAAAAGCCGTACAGTGTTGAGGAGGATGCAGCTGGTATATTGGCCTGCGGTTGATGTCACTCCTTTGTTGATCATTTGTCGACGCATTATCTGAAAAAAAAATACGAATAAAACTCAAAATGCAGAGAATAATGCGAATTTGGCGCTTAATTTTGAAAAAAATGAGAAATACAAAGCTGGAAAAATATGAAAAAAGTGGGAAAAAGGAGAAATGGGGAAAAGTGGGAAATACCGTGGCCCTAAAATGGGAAAGGTGAGGATGCACCCCGCTCCCTTGATAATGTTAAACAGGTAGCACGGGGTAGTATGCATCAGGTGGCCGGTTTTTTGAACAAAATTAAACGGCATAAGTTACATAAACAGCTGAGCTGTACATGCGGAAGCACAGAGAGAACAGTGAAGCGATGCAAAAAAGGTTATGTACACTTAAATATCAAAAGTTTTCTTTTGTACTTATATACAGCCGAAAAACCAATGTTGACAAGATCTTGCATGAAGTTATCGCATTTCTACTGCTCCCCTCCTTTCCTCATTACACTTCTAAATTAATAAAAATTTCAACTCCACAACCAGAAAGAAGAGGGAAATGAAAATTTAGGAATTTTTTTTTCATTCAGTGATAGCTTTGACCCTTTTCAAAACAAATTTCTACTTTCAATGAATTCATCAGCAAGAGGGGGAGAGAAAAAAAATTTAAAAAAAGAAAAAAAGCTAAAGAAAAATAAAAACTGAACTATTCTGTGGTTACCTTGAGAAAAATGAAAACAAAAGAAAGAGAAAAATTAAGATATAAAAGAAGTTAAAGAAAAAAAGCGAAAAAAGAAAAATAAAAGAAAAATTGAAGTATCCTTACAGTGGTTACTTTTCAGGTTTTCAAAACTATCAAAAACAGGAAAAAAGCATAGAAGAAACGGCCAAAAACTACCTCAACTAGGATGGGGGAGGGGTAACCGCCAAATTGTTTTCCCAAAGAAAAATCCTCGAAATTTTGTCCCGAACAATTTAAGCTTAAAAAAACCAAGCACAGGTTCGCAATGCTAGTTTTTTTGCAGACGCATATTGAGGGGCATATAAGTCATGAATGGAGCCCTTTCTCAAAAACTGTTCTGGAGCTGGAAGGAATCGAACCACTCCCCTTCACTTCCGGATGCAATGTGTTACCACTACACCACCGGTCCTTGTGCGCATTGTGTTGCCAACTGGCTTTCAAGACAAGATACACTTTTTTTTGCTCTTTTTTCTTCGTGGCGGCTTCTTTGCCGGCTTTTCGCGGGTTTTCCACGACAGTACAAACCTTTAAGGCACGTCTGAAGGGGCAATCGTTCTCGGCATCACCGCCTCCATCGCGCTCGAACATCTTTGCAGCGGCATCGATGAGGAAAATCGTGCACGTACTGCCGCCATCGGCCAACGAGAGCATCTCGCCGAACGGATCGTCCAAACCGAACTCATCCTCGTCTTCTTCCATTTCTCCTAAACAAATTCCTCTTTTGAAAATCAAAAAATAAAAAAAAAAAAACTACGTAATAAAGTAGCCGCCATATCAGCTTGCTATTGAGCAGTCAATGAATGCGAGAATCACTGACAGTTTTGCCAGCGTGTGGTTGCTTTTTATCGAATAAGGGAATCATCGACGGTTTTACCAACGTGTGGTTGCTTTTGGCAACTACTACCAGTCGACCTATTTCCAATTGCCTTTACCTTCCTATTGCTCAGGGATGAAACACAGACAGGCTATCAAATCACTGTACACATACAGGCTTGTTTATTTGGGAGATCTCTAAATGGCACTATTTCCAGTGTCTTTTCATTAATTATCAAAATTCGATTGTGTTCCTCCTCTCCTACGGTGCTGGGCCAACAACGTCAAACAAACTGCATATGTTAACGCATAGATGCGATTTCAGGCCCCCGTTCTCTTCCAACAGCTCCAAGCCAGGGATATTCATTGTTTATATCTTTAAAATTTCTACAATCACGAAAACATCAGATTACAGGTAACATGCCCTCACCTGTACGTGGTAGCGGGTCGCATTTGCACATTCCTGGTTGGCTAGTTACCTGTATAAGATGTTGCCCGTTACCTATATAAGACGCTGACTCGTTACCTGCAGGTAATGAGTAGGCAAGGAGGGAATTTTCAGTTGCTTGCGATTTCCCTCTGCCCTCCAAATGTAAATTGC